GGCATGGGCAGTGGAGTCAGATAGGGCACCGGTGTGTAAGTCTAGACTCCTCCCCTGTGAAACGCAGTTGTTTAATTTCACTAGACCTCAGTTTCCTCCTTATCTGTAGTATAAGGAAAAGAGTAACATAGGGATATATGAAGATTGTTGGGTTCCTGTCACATAATGAACATTCAGTAAATAAACTGCTGTTAGTTATTGCTGAACCGACTCGGGCTCATGGTCACACATGTACCAAAGAGTAAAGCATTGCCCAGTGTTGTGCCATCTCCACCATCACTGGTATGCTCAAGTGTGTATTTTGAGTACCTTCCAATCTAGGAGGTTCATCTTCCAACACTACCATATACCGGATAGTATTCTGTAGTGATCCATGAGGTTTTCATTGACTACTTTTTGGAAGTACATCACCAGGCCTTTTTCCTATTCTGCCTTAGTCTGGAAGTTCTTCTAAAACTTGCCCATCACAGGTGACCCTTTCATATTTAAAATGCCTGTGGCAGAGTTTCCAGCATCATAGCAACATGCACGTCACCACTGTGTAACAGATTGCAGATGGGTGGTGGCAATACATAAACAGTAGCTTTTAAATCATAACAAGATCATTGCTAAGGAGCAAAATACAAAATACACAAATGGCTGCAACCGTACATTGACAGGGAACTGCCAGAGGTTTCAGTCAGATTCAGAAGATGTGGAACAAGGGATATCATTGCTGACGTCAGATAGATTTTGGCTGAAAGCAGAGAATATCAGAAAGATGTTTACCTGTGATTTATTGACTATGCAAAGGCTTTCGATTGTGTGGATTGTGATAAGCTAATGGACAACATTGCAGGGAATGAGTATTCCAGAACACTTAATTGTACTCATGAGGAACCTGTACATAGACCAAGAGGCAGTTGTTCGAACAGAACAAGGGAACACTGAGTGGTTTAAAATGAGGGAAGGTGTGTACCAGGGTTGTATTCTTTCATGATACTTACTCAGTTGGTATTCTGAGCACATAATCTGCGAAGCTGCATAATATGAAGAAAAATGTGGCATGGATTGGAGGAAGACTCATTAACAACCTTCAATATGCAGATGATACTACCTTGCTTGCTGAAAGCAAAGAGGACTTAAGATATTTACTAATGAAGATCAAAGACCATAGCCTTTGGTATGGATTGCATCTCAGTGTAAAGAAAACAAAAATCCTCACCACTGAACCAATAAACAGCATTCTTATCAACAGAGAAAAAGTGAAGTTGTCAAAGACTTCATTTTTTCTTGGATCAACCAGCAGTCAAGAAATCAAACAATATATTGCATTAGGCATATGTGCTGCAGAAGACCTCTTTAAAGTGTTGAAGAGCAAAGATGTCAGTTCGAGGACTAAGGTGCATCTGAACTGAGCCATGATATTTTCCATAACCTCATATGCATGTGAAAGTTGGAAGACCGTAGAAGAATTGATGCATTTGAGTTATAGTGTTGGAGGAGAATATTGAAAGTATCATGTGGTGTAATGCTGATGTTCTCCCATGTAAACTATCACTCAATTCACAATAAAAAATTAAAAAAAAAAAAGAAAGTATCATGGACTGCCAAAAGAAAAAACCAATCTATGTTAAAAGCATGGCCAGAATGCTCATTGGAAACCAGCATGGCTAGACTTTGTCTCTCATACTTCAGACATATTATTAGGAGGGACCATTCCCTGGAGAAGGACATCATGCTTGGTAAGGTGGAGGGTCAGAGAAACAAGAGGAAGGCCCCCAGCGACATGGATTGGCACAGTGGCAGCAGCAATGATTGTGAGATTGGCGCAGCAGTGTTTGATTCTATTGTGCATAGGGTTGCCATGAGTCAGTACCAAGTCGATGGCACCTAACAACAACAACAACAACAACAAGGAGCCAAAACATACAATGAGCTAAGACTGCTGTTTTCATGTTTTCTCCCTCTGGCTCATTAGAAGGTCACATTGGGTATATATAGGCCCAAGGGCTAGGACCCATGGCAACTAAAACCCAGGTGATTTTCTGTGCCATGGGAACCTTGAGCTGCATGCCAGCCCCAGCAGCTCTTTGCCCAGCTTAAAATTCTCTGGTAAGCATTGAGAGTAAGGATGCCCCTGTGAGGCAGTGTGGTAAAGAGCAGGCTTTCTCAGGTGCATGGAGAATGCAGGCCCAGAGTGTATTTGAGAAAGGTCTTTCAGGGCTAGGTGGTGCAGATGGTTTGCATTGGACTACTAACCTGAAAAGGACCTCTAGCGGCACAGTGCTGAAGATCTCAGTTGCTAATCAAACGGTTAGCAGTTCAGATCTACCTAGGGACTCCATAAGATAAAGACCTAGAATTTGGCTTTCATAAAGAGCTCTGGTAGCGTAGTGGTTACGAATTGGGCTGTGAACCTCAGGGTCAGCAGTTC